ATCCACCTGAAATGGGGTTTGTCCCAGGAGTTTAAGTCCCTCGTTATCTCATCTATCAATCCCGGAAAATTAGCCTTGTATAGCGTCTCGTGTGAGTTGGTTATTTGAACCCCTAGATATTTAATGCTCTGCTTGGCCCATTGAAATGGAAATGATTTCTTAAGTTTTGCAATGAGGTGTTTGGGTGTGTTAATATTTAAAATTTCCTGGTAAGTTTTATCCTGCAATCCCTGAACCAGTTTAGTAGCCCTTCTCTGAACTCTCTCTAAAGTATCAATATCCTTCTGACGATACGTTCTCCAGTACTGCGTACAATACTCCAAGTGAGGTCTCACCAGTGTTCTGTACAATGGCATGAGCACTTCCCTCTTTCTACTGCTAATACCTCTCCCTATACAAGCAAGCATTCTGCTAGCATTTCCTGCTGCTCTATTCCATTGTCTACCTACCTTTAAGTCATCAGAAATAATCACCCCTAAATCCCTTTCCTCAGATGTTGAGGTTAGGACTCTATCAAATATTCTGTACTCTGCCCTTGGGTTTTTACATCCAAGATGCATTATCTTGCACTTATCCATATTAAATGTCAGTTGAGAGCCACAACTCTTTTTCTAGTTTACCTAAATCATCTGCCATTTGGCTTATCCCTCCTGGAACATCAACCCTGTTACATATCTTAGTATCATCAGCAAAAATACATACCTTACCATCAATTCCTTCTGCAATATCACTAATAAAACTATTAAAGAGAATGGGTCCAAGTACAGATCCCTGAGGTACCCCACTGGTGACAAGCCCAAGCTTGAAATATACTCCATTGACTGTTGCCTGTCACTCAGCCATTGCCTTACCCATTCAACAATATTGGAATCCAAACTTAAAGATTGCAGTTTATTGATAAGCCTTCTATGTGCAACAGTGTCAAAAGCCTTACTGAAATCTAGGTAAGCAATGTCTACTGCACCACCCCGATCTATAATTTTAGTTACCCAATCAAAAAAATCAATAAGATTAGTTTGGCATGATCTCCCTGAAGTAAACCCATGTTGTCTCTGATCTTGAAATCCATGTGTTTTTTTAGATATTCAACAATCCTATCCTTTAACATGGTTTCCATTACTTTCCCCACTACTGGGACTACTCCTGTTAACAATGATTGGTTAAATAAATCTGTTAATGGTTTTGCTAGTACACCACTAAGCTCTTTTAATAACTTTGGGTGTATTCCATCCGGTCCCATTGACTTATTTATCTTTACTTTTGACAGTTGAAATAAAACCTCTTCCTCTGTAAACTCACATGTAATAAATGGCTCATTTGTCCTTTTTCCTAACTGAGGTCCCTTTCCTTCATTTTCATCTGTAACTACTGAATACAAATATTCATTGAGGCAGTCCGCTAGACCTTTATCCTCTTCTACATACCTTCCTTCTTTTGTTTTTAATCTAACTAATCCTTGTTTTACTTTCCTTTTCTCATTTATGTATCTAAAAAATGTTTTGTCCACTTTTTTTTACTGACTGTGCTATTTTCTCTTCTGTGTGTGATGTGGAAGCTCTTATAACTTGCTTAGCCTCTTTCTGCCTAATCTTATAGATCATTCTGTCTTCCTCACTCTGTTTTTTTTTTTTATAATTACTAAACGCTAACTTTTTGTTTTTTACTATATTGGCCACATCTGTGGAGTACCATAGTGGTTTCTTGAATTTTTTGCTTTTACTGACAAGCCTAATGCAATTTTCTGTTGCCTTCAGCAGTGCAACTTTTAAATAATCCCATTTTTCTTGGACTCCATTTAAATTGCTTCAATTTGATAATGACTCCTTTGGAGCAGGCACCTTCTTACATAGTAACTGGAACTGGCATGACTCCAGCTCACCATCTGCATGTACTAACGAGTAGGCCCACTAAGGGCTGCCCTAGATTGCAGCTGAACTTTTCCTATCCCCTCAAGAGACAGCGTGCCTAAAGTGGAAAACCCCAGTCTGCTCCGTGCTTACATGTCAGAAAAGATGAGACGGTCTGGACCTGCAGGAGGCACACTGTATCGGAGCCACCAACCCCTTCGCTCCAACTCCCCAGTCACGAAGAGCACTGTCCTGCAGCACACCTGCTTCTTTTTTTTTTTTTTTTTTTTATTTAAATGTTTTTATTTCTCGTGTACAAGGAAATGGGGTACAGAAAAGAAGGGGAGTGTTCAATGATCACATTTCAGGGTTACATGAACAGTGCATCTATGGTACATTTCACATCACATACATAAACATAAACATCCCGGCGTAAAACTTAACCGGGGTTGCATCAAGGTCATACCACAGGGTGTACACTTTCCCTTTAATGAAGGTCGGATAGTAAGAGGTTGTCCCCCTACCGTCTCGGGAATGGTGGTATGTGTGAGTAACCATAAAATCAACAAACAATGGGGGGGGAGGGGGAAAGGGGGGGTTTTTATTGACCCTGCCTAGGTCGGGGTAGATGTTATGTAGTTTCTTTTGAGCTCTTCCCGTGATTGACTTATTTGCCGTTACATGGCTCGCTCTTCTTATCTGACAGCTAAGGATTCTGTCTTGCCCGGGTCTGCCTCTTGGGCGGTTATGTCCTGGTCTTAGTCCAAAACTCTATCCAGGGTTCCCAAGTCTTGAGGTGTCTATTACGTTTCCCCATTAACGACCAGTGGATGTCCTCTATCTCCCTCACTCCCTCTACATTTTGTACCCATTGCTCCATGGTCGGAATGCTAGGTTTACGCCAGTACAGTGGGATCAGGGCGTTTGCCTCCCCTAGCAAAATGTGCAGTAAGTGTTGCCTGTGCGATACCTTAAATGTACGTGGCCAGCCAAGCAGTACTTGGGGTGCCTCTAGGCGGGTGGCTGGTGCTAGTATCTTTGTAATCTCAGAGAGTATGGGTTGCCAGAAACGCTGAATGTCCCGGAAGCTCCACCAGATGTGTAACATATCCCCTCTACTGGCTGAGCATCTCCAGCAGATATTGTCAAGTGAAGGGCATATAGCGTGCAACACGGCTGGTGTTCTATACCATCTAGTAACCCGTTTATAGAAGGTCTCTTTGCGCGTGACACTGATCGAAGTTTTGAGACCCGTCTCCATAATACTGGACCAGTCCTTGTCCGAGAGATGTATGTGAAGGTCTGTCATCCATTTCTGTTGGAATGTGGGAGTCGTAGGTTCTTTGTCTGCCGACTGGAGGATGCGGTATATTTTAGATAGGGGCCGTTTACGGTCGCCCGTTGGGCCACAAAGGAGTTCAAAATGCGTGTCTCCTCTCTTGGTCCAGAGGGGGAGGACGTGTTTCGTCAGGAAACCCTTAAGCTGTGCTCTGGTCATAATGTCCAGGAGGGTGGCATGTCTCTGTGTTACTTGTCTGTCTTTAAATTTAGGTGGGTCATCCTCAGTAGTTCAGTAATGTCCGGTGAATGCGTTCCCGTGAGGCGGGCAAGTGAGGGCCCTCCCTGTCCTCCCTGGAAATCAGGGTTATAGGCCGTGGGGAAAAATCTAGAGATTCCAGGGGACAGTCCACATTTATCTTTATGCCGTCTCCAGATTGTGAGCGTGTTGTGAATGAGTGGATGTCTTGAGGGGGTCAGGTATTTGAGTTGGCATGTTTGCCACGGGAGGGTCGTTAGAGGGACCGGTACAAAGCTCTGTTCTAGATCGTACCACAATCTTTTCTTACTTGTGTCTGTCCACTCTTTTAGTCTGGTGAGTAAGACTGCTACGTAATATTTATATATGCGAGGTAGTCCCAGGCCCCCCCTGTCCGTGGTGGACGTCAGTGTGGTCAAGGCAAGTCTTGCCGGTTTGTTTCCCCAAATATATTGCGCAGTGACATATTCTCTTAGGTTGTGGAGTTGGCCACTTGGGGAGGCTAGGTTGTATAAATTTGAGTAAAAGGCATTGAATGCCTTTGCTATGTCATCGGTGGTGTTACACGCCTTCCCTGTGCCATCTGAGATCTTGTCAATGAAGGATCTCTGTTGTTTAGCTTTCAGAGCTTTGGCCAATAATTTCCCACTCTTGTTACCTTGGGCGTAAAAAGTGGTCCTCGTCAATTGTACCGATCTATATGCCTTTACAGTCAGTAACGATCTAAGTTCTATGCGTAGTGCAGTCAGGGTCTGAAAGTTGTCGCTTGTTGGGTCTTGTTTATGTTTTGTGTCGGCTACTTGTATGGCCTCTGTCAAGGTATCAATTTTATGTGATCGTTCCTTTTTAATCCTGGATCCCCACTTAATGAAGATGCCCCTGATGACCCCTTTGTGGGCCTCCCAAACCCATGGGTCCGACACCTCATTGTTCCTGTTTTCAGTAAAATAATCGTTCAAAGTCTGTCGTAGGTCTACCAGGACCCTGGGGTCATCTAATAGGGATTTGTTTAATTGCCAGTGAGAGGCAGGTTTAGGTTCATTTTGGATGGTGAGTGTCAGGAACACTGGGGCATGGTCTGACCATGTAATTTTCCCTACGGATGCTTCATTCAGCAAGGGGAGATGTCTATGACTGATGAAAACCATATCTATTCTAGAGTAGCTGTCAGCTGTTTGAGAGTAGTAGGTGTAGTCCTTGTCCTGTGGGTGTAGTGTGCGCCAGCAGTCTACTAGCTGGTGTGAGTGGAGCAGCTTGGAGAGCAAGAGTCTTTGGTGGCGTCTAGTATCCGTAGCCTTAGAGGAGCTGTCAATTGAATGATCAAGTACTATATTCCAGTCCCCTCCCACTATCACCACTCCCTCGGCAAATCCCTCCAGTTTGGTCAAGTAGGAGCGGATATAGGGGGTTTGATCAGCATTAGGAGCATAGATATTCGCTATGGTCACTAGTGTACCGTTATAGACTCCTTTGATGAACACATATCTGCCCTTGGGGTCAGTTTTAATATCTGACTTCACAAAGGCGGCACCAGACGCTATAAGTATTGCCACCCCTCTGGTTTTCTTGTGGGTGTTATTACTGTAGTATGCTGTGTGGGCGCCTTTAGTGCGTATTTTCGGTTGGAAGTCCCCTCTAAGGTGTGTCTCTTGCAGTAAGATGATATCGGCTCCCTGTCTATCTATCTCCTGCGCCAACATAGTGCGCTTCATAGGAGAATTCAGCCCCGCACATTCAGGGACATTATTTTAGTCCGGGTCATTTTAGTGTTTTATGGGCTAGTCTCCTATCTGGTGGGTCAGAGCGTTTGTTGTTTAGCACGGGAGTCAAGTGGGCTAAATAGGCAGGATAGGTTTGGGGAAGGTGAACCAGGGGTAAATATAAACTATATACAGCGGTACGATAGGGCAAATACCTATCGTGCGACGAGATTGGCGCTGCACTTGTGGGTAACGCCATCGTGTCCACAAGTGTTTGCGGGGCGCCTCTCTTGGGGTGGTGGTCCGGGTGACTGACCGGGGTGGTCTCAGGGGTTCCACTGGACTGTCTGGTCTACACTGATAGTCTCCTTGTCCCTCTAGTCCTAAGGACCCGTGGGTCAGGGGTTAGTGAGGTTGTTAAGTAAGTCCCTGTGGACCGAGCCCTTAGCGTCTATGGTCATTCAAAACGTTCAAACATCTAACATTTAAGGCTTTGGGCCTGGTTATGGCAATTTCGGTAAAACAATATAACAGTATTAAATAGCGTATAGAAAACATAAAAAAAAAGTATAACTAAAGTTGGCAGCATGGTGAGTTATGGGTTAGTACATCAGAGTTTGTGAGCTTATTGCAATTATATGGCAATATAGACAGTTATATAATTTTGGCATACGACCGTAGAGCTTCTCAGTCAGGCTCTTCCCTGGATGGTGCAGTGTTGTCCGCGTGAGGCTGGGTTTGTCTACGTCTCTTCCGTGGCGTCTTTTGCCATTTAGATTTTTGTGGGATTTGCTTGGTCGTGATCCCGTTAAGTCCTGTCCAGTCCTCTACGGCAGATATCGGTAGGTTCAGTGCTTTCTGGAATCCTGGGACCTCCGCTGGTGTGGTGATTACATGAGACCCCTCCGGAAGATTCACAATCAATGCGAACGGGAAGCCCCAGCGAAATCTAATTTTCTTCTCCATCAGGGCTTGTGTGACGGGTTTCAAGGCTCGTCGCGCCAGTAGTGTAGAAGGTGAGATATCTTGAAAGACCGTCACCGTGTGACCACTCACTGATAGATTTTTATTTAGGCGGGCTTTATGAAATATTTCTTCTTTAAGGGGAAAGTTGTGGATCCGGCAGATAAGGTCTCTTGGTTTATCCGGAGCTAAGTTCCTGGGCCTAGCAGCTCTGTGTGCCCTGTCAAAGGCAATGGCTGTATCAGGGGGTCTGTTCAAAATATGATTAAATAGCGTGGTGAGGATTTGAATGGGATTTTCAGTACTTCCTTCAGCGGCTTCTGGTATGCCTCTCACTCTCAAATTATTTCGGCGCCCCCTGTTGTCTACATCTTCCAGTTGCCTCTGTAGGTGCCTTATTGCTGCAGCATGCATCTCCTGTGTGGTGTATGATTCAGCCCATTGCTTGTCAGTATTTTCTATTTCCTCCTCCATGGCCTGTACCCTAGCTCCAAGGTGCTGTGCCTCTGCACTGACCGCCTGTAATTTTTCCCCAAAGCTATCCTCCAGTTTCTGGAACATAGCTGCAATATCTGACCTGGAGGGTAGTTGGTGTAGTAATGCCCTGATCTCTTGATCCTCATTAGATCCGTCTGAGGCCGTCGGGCTGGATGGCCGGCTGCCGCGCACATGTGCCGCTGGCGCCATTTTGTCCCGTTTGTGTGGGTCTGTTTGTTCGCCGAACAATCTCCTCAGGGATGATTTGGCTGACGGCTGGTCGGTCGCGGGGGGGTTCCCCATCGTACTGCGCTGCTTTTTTGTCGCCATTTGCGTTGGTGTATTGCCGTTTTCCCCTAAGTCCCCCGGTCAGGGCTTGAGCTCAGCGCTCATGCGACCATGCACCTCGGCGTCCAGACCACGCCCCCCACACCTGCTTCTTGACGATAACTCATGAATGGGGCTCCCACCGAGATGCCTGGAGGAGGCTACCCTTTGTATTGCCTGACACTTCACCGGTTCCTGCCTCAAAACAAGGCATTGACTAAGTTATTCACCACCTATAGGGCTCCACACCCACACAGTTTTCCCCTGGGACTGTCACCCTTAAGCAAAGTGCCCCTAGCCCATGATATGATTCATCTCCCATGTGTGACCCATAAGGGTGTTTAAATGCTATAGGTTAGTCCTACAGTGTGCAGCCATGCTTACTATGCAATATGTATTAGCTCTTATTCTATCTATGCAGATTTAGGCATTCTGCTTATTAACATAACACATGGTATTTAAGTATAGGCAAAGTGTGCAGTTTATCCAGTTGACTTACTTTTGTTGCAGAGCTAATTGTATATCTTTCTACCTTATATTGTAATTAGGCATGTGCATGGGAAAATTGTTCGGTTTGGTTCGGCTCGGCATTCCGAAATTCGGGACTTCGGCAACTTCGGTAATTTCGGGACTTCAACAATTCGGCAACTTCGGAATTTCGGAACGTCTCTTGCAGCCGCTTGGTAGATAACTCCCTAATTCCCACGGTATTAGGGAGTTATCTACCAAAAACAGCTTCTTCTCATCCTCCGCAATATCGGTCTACAAGATATTGCTCTCTCCTGGTGCTCCTCCTACCTCTCCCAGCGCTCTTTCAGTGTTTCTTTCTCTGGTTCTGCTTCTTCTCCCCAACTCCTCTCTGTTGGTGTCCCCCAAGGTTCAGTCCTTGGTCCCCTACTGTACTCCATCTATACTGCCTCCCTTGGTAATTAGCTCCTTTGGCTTCCAATATCATTTCTATGCAGATGACACGAAAATCTACCTGTCCTCTCCTGATCTCTCCCCGTCCCTCTTGACTAGTGTCTCTGACTGTCTCTCTGCTGTTTCTAACTGGATGGCTGCCCACTTCCTTAAACTAAACTTGACCAAAACTGAAATTCTGGTCTTATATGTTTCTATAGATGTACAATGTGGAGAAAACAAAACTTCCGATCACTATTAATAACTCTCCTTTTCCGTGTCCTCCAATACCTGAACTTCACCAAGGTTGCTGTAGAATGATTAAAACTCAGCCTAGATTTCCTCACGCTCACCTCAGCGTCCACCTTACTGGCAAAACACTGGAAAAACCCCCAGATCCCCTCCATGGCGGAGGTGACAGCAATGGTCACTACCACCCTGGACTATGAGGTGATCTTGTGGAACCAAACAAAAATAGGCAAAGGGAGCGATACAGCGAAAAAGATTTGGACCACATACATAGACAAGAGAACCCTCCAAGCTGCAGCTAGGGGCACTGCCAACACTGATACAACTACGTAACAATAGAACCTCGATGGTTCATAGCAGCCATATCCCAGTTATTCTTCCCCCCCCCCGTTTCACCCTGCCTCTCCCCTCCTCCTCTCATACCTGGACCCGTTCAGGGGTACACACCTGAGGAACAACCACAGATAGCCTGAGAAGGCGAAAAAAAAAAAAAAACACAAAACATATACCATAGACGAGCCGACAGGCCGGCCAGCAGCGATCGAATTAGCCCGCAAGGGAAAGGTGGCCCGACAACTCATAGCCCTTCACAACGGAGGCCTTTTCCCCCCTCAGACGGGCATACTATATGTGTCTCTTTTGAGGGGATAAGCACACCCTGCTCGCCACCATAGGAAGACCCACATGTAGGGACAACAAGTAACACTCCTCCTTTCACAGAGGACGCGCAGGGCCGAGCACAATAACCCGCTCAACCTACTGTACAACCCATAAGTAAACGACAAGAAGCACAATCAGTACTACACATTGTAAGTAAATAGAAATGTCAGGCATTGTACGAATGCTATTAAATGGTATGATCAACTGTAATGTCAAACCTAACGGGATTTAAATGCACCCCCCTGAACCTCCCCTTTTCCTTTCTGTACCCCTCTGAACCACAGTCTTCCGACAAAAATAAAAATTGTCAAATTGGAAAAAACTCAGCCTAGATTTATGGACGTAAGAAAGAAAATACAGGAAGCTGTATTATTCTATGTAAGTAGAATCCAATAACCTTTGAAAGGCAAATGCAGCTGAAAGTTGTTTAAAAGTACGTCAGCTAAGAACTGTTTCAATTACATCTTTTTGTTTTCGCTGCACACAATAATTGTATTTTTAGCATGTAATCATTATTAACACGCGTGCAACGGCTGGGGTGATTAGATTACTCAACGTCATCCTAATCATCAACACTGACCTTATTAAGTGAACAACAATTTGTGTGCAGGCCAGTGATTATCAATCAGAGATAGTTCACCTCTGAATCTTTAGCTGCAGAGCCAAACAAAGCTTTCCTGATCCTAATTGTTTTATGAATGAATTCTGATTTCAAAAATATGTAAAATAAATACAAAGAAAGGAAAATTTTTATTAAGAATACTCAAGGTTACAAAGAGGAACCATGTATTCTTGTATAAGTGGACGGCTTTTATCTTATATACCCTATTAAAGCAGTTTTTTATTGTGGAATATGTAGTTCAGCCCTGACAGTGGGTCATTGCAGCACAAAGGAAGAGTGGAACTTTTATAAGCTGTTAGCAGCCGTACCGTGGACACTATTGGTTAATGAAAAGCAAGTTTCTTAACTACTGGTGGTTAGTGGACCACCTGTTATCATGGCATATATCTGGATATTGCTGGATATCTCAAGTGTGAGATATCTATCAACAATGGTACACAGGGCCGGACTGGCCCACTGGGATACCGGGAAATTTCCCGGTGGGCCGTCGGCACCTGGGGCCGGGCAGGCAGCTGGCTCACCTGCGGCCGCAGAAGGAGCTCTTCTGACGGCCGCAGGGGGAGCTGGCTGTTCTGTCTCTGCTCCCCCTCCCCAGCGCACTGCTTAATGAGACCGGGGACGGAATATGACGTCATATTCCTGCCCCGGTCTCATTAAGCAGCGCGCTGGGGAGGGGGAGCAGAGACAGAACAGCCAGCTCCCCCTGCGGCCGTCAGAAGAGAGAGCTCCCCCATGCGGCCGCCATCAGACTGAGCTCCCCATGCCAGCACACAGGTAGCAATTATGTGTGTGTCATTTGTGGGTGTGTCTGTCATGGTGTGTCTGTCTGTGTCATGGTGTGTGGGTGTGTCTCTGTCTGTCATGGTGTGTGCATCATGGTGTGTGTGTGTCTCTGTGTCATGGTGTTTGCGTCTGTCTGTGTCATGCAATGTGTGTCTGTGTGTGTGTCACGGTCTGTCTGTGTCA